CAGGAATGCTAGAAAATGTAAAGTCTATTGTTGTTGCTGCCACCTTCCCCTCTTCTCTGCCTCAGGCTCAAGCTAGTAGTGGGAGGAGACACTGTTGTCCCCCCTTGCCTGAAAACTGCCGCAGGTTGTGCTTACGGCTGCCCTTCTGATAGCCCCAGCTGAAAGCCCAAGGACCGAATGGTCAGATATGGAAGCAAATTATGCTCTTGCCTTTAAAAAAGTATTGATGAACTATAACAAAATACAGGACTATGTAGCACTTTAAAGACTAACAAGATGGTTTATTAGATGATGAGCTTTCGTGGGCCAGACCCACTTCCTCAGATAAAATAGTGGAAGAAAATAGTCACAACCATATATACCAAAGGATACAATTTGCTACTGCAGACTACTCTGCATTTCATCAGATCTTACAGCTTCATCTGTAGCCCCAAGACATCAGTTGAGAGTAGACATTGTGTCAGTTGTATTTGTTAACTGGGATTGTAGAAACCATTTTAAGTTGATTATGACTATTGTTAACTGAATTGAGTGCCTTCAAAATTAAAACAGCTTTTTTGAGAGATTGTATACTCTCCCGGCTAATACTGCTGCCACCTATAAAATGAGATTAGCTGTGCACTGCGGATCCCGGATAACCTGCTCTGTTTACATTATCGTGGACTATTGTAACCTTTTGCAAGGAGGCTAGGAATAGAGTCAGAAAAAGGAAAAGACACACAAAATAAGTCAGCCTGCAGAGACCACAAAGGGCACTGTAGTATCAAAGAACCGGGTTTAAGGAGCAACCACTGAGCTCCAAAAGTATCAAGTTATTATGGTTCTCATGTTGATTGTCATACAACAGCTAGAGGCTCATGTGGCATTGTCACTACAGTACTGGAGCCAAATGTATCTCATTCCAATAGGCACAGCGTTCCAAACTGGTAAGCATGGTATATTTTCAAAATCTTGTTTGCAAACTGAAAGGAGATTATAGAATATGAACAGTATGTCTGTTTGGTGGAGCTTGCAAATATTTTTAAAGGGACATATTGAGAAAAAATAAGCTTGCAGTACATCAAAATTGACATGTACATTAAAATAAAAAAGGTGAAAAACTGGAACGATTAAGCAAATACATTTTGTGTTTATTAAACACAAACATTTGATCTAAATGTTGGCATTCAGTTAAGAAAAAGTAGGAGAGTAGGGACTGTGAGACTAGTTGTCAATAGGAGCATCACAGCACCGACTGTGCTCACTGCCTATCGGTTTCCATCACTGGTAGCAGCTACTAGTTGGGAACCATCTGAACTAATATCTGGCTCTATTTAGAGGAGGCTATCTTCCGTTCCATTCCAACACTGCTCCTGCTATTCTTGTTCTGCACACAGAAGGAAAATTTCAAAAAATCATGAGTCATGCCTCTGCCTCCCAAAAGCCATGAGATTGGTCTCCTGAATGTGATTTTTGAAAGAAAGATTACATTGTGTTTTTTGGTCTGTATTCTGTTTTAATTGTCCCAAAGGAAGAAAAGAAATCTAAGGGTCAGGATTCTGCTGTGCTAACTCTTCCCCTTTACTCTGCTTTAAATATAACTTGGGTTGTAGCCACAGTGGTAGCTAGAAGGGGATTCTTTTTTGACCTCGTGCACATGGTGAACAGCTGGTGCATATGAAGGACCCTGCTACTGTTAACAGCAGTCACTATTTCTCTGATTAAATAGGGACCAGGTAGGGAGTCAAATGGGGTCATTTGGACCTTTTGAACTAAAAATGTTTGCCACTTTATTAGGTTTAAAGTTTTTTCATCGATGGGCTTCTTATGTCTCTCTGTAAGTTGGTGGTCAAGTTGAATTCTGCATGTTTCTTAGTATGTTCTGGCTAGGCAGAGGAATCCAAGAGAATGAATTTTCTCCTTGTTCTTTGCCTCTGTCTTCTGAGTAGTTAGTCACTGCCTTTAGATCACAGTCAGCATCTAAGCACAATGTGTAGGCAGTGGGGAAAACCTCTGGACTTTTACTAAACATCTCACTTTATTGCTGCTATATTGTGTATATTTATCAGAGCACTGTGAAATACTTACAGCTGGGTTACACAAGTACTCCTGAAAACATGAGATAATGGTTTTAATACTAATGGTCAAGTGAGAGGTTAAGGATTAAGTACTCTGGTTTCATTTAATCAATGGCAACAGTATTTCCATATTTCAGGGAAACTGTTATTTCATTGTTTTTACTGTAATTAAATAATGGCTCAAGGCTAACTGGGTGGTCAGATACATTTCCTGGCTTCTCTTCTTCCTGGAGGTTCTCCAGAGCTTTTAGTTGTTATCAAGAACATTAAACATTAAAGTTGATTTATGTTATTTACAATATTAACAATGTGGACATGCCAACTGATGGCTGAAATATTGAAAGTTGAGCAGAGATATTATGATCTTAAAATAAAACAACCCATAGGACAGATATTTGCTTTTCAGATGATTAAATGTAAAATCACCCAATGATCTGGGAACTTGCTGTGTTCATCTTGATATATAATAATTGGTATACAAAATTTTTCTAGGCCTCCATATCATTAAGCCACATTTGCAAAATATTTTTGCCCAGTAGTACAGTATTATGTGTGGCTTATTGCTATGTGATAATATAAGGAAAGTTCTTGTGTCCCACCAAATATATGTATAAGACACATCAGTACATACATTCCACATCAGTATGCCATGCCTTAAATCTGAATTTCCCAATATTAAGTTAGAATATTAGTGCTCTAATAGCACACTAGTCTGTATTCCAATATCACCTTTTGTGTGCTTCCAAAATGGAATTGTAAGAGTTGTATGGTAGCTTGTTAATGTTTTTCCTAATCCCACATTGATTTACAGCATGATGATTCTTACACTGTTCCAGCTATATGGTTTTGTTTGTGATCCAAAATCTACTGTGAGAAGTAGAATTTTTAAATTAAAATACATTGTAAAAATTAATTTCTGAATCTGGAAATCCATGGGCACGACCTCAACGACAATGAATTACTAGTGGCTCTGACTGATGAATGGTGGTGAGTGCTGCTCATTGGGTTATAATTTTCCATGCACTTTAAAATTGTTAGAGATCATTTAATATTTTTCAATATATATTATTTCCTGTTGGGTTTTTTTAAGGAAGCAATTTACAAATGTAAACCCAAGTCTAATAAAAGGGTCAATCATTCATGTCAGGCACTGCCTTCCATTTAGGAATGTGGAGGTATCCATTTATCTGCTTTTACCCCTTTTCCTGCTGGCTCTTGGGGACCCATGGCCCTACCTTACCTCCCTTTGGGGTATCTTGCACTCAAGTGGCACATGAAGAAAGCAGTTCCTTTAGTATAAGAAGCACAGGGACTGCCGTGAAGCCTATTGCTGTGCCTTTCATTTTCACTTCAATCTCTGTGCAACCATGAAGAAGCAGGGAACAATCAGAAAATGAGCCAAACTAAAGCTCCAGAGCCAAACACACACGCACGCACACACAGCTTTGTGGAAGCTCAGATCCAATTTAACTCCTGACCCAAACTATCCCAACTTTGTGGAAATTATGATTCAAGCTTTGCAATTTAGGCCTATCACTAAGTTGAACCTCAAATCTCATCTTATATGGGTAAAAAAAAAAAAAAAAAAAAGCCAAATGATATGCTTCCTCAATGTGCTATTGATCCATCTGCTTACTCTTAACAACCTCCTTATTTTTTATTTATAGACTGGCCTTATTGTTGCCTGTTACCAAGGTTTTGTGGATATTATAATAGCCTTAGCACAGTGCCCTCATGTTGATGTAAACTGGCAGGACAATGAAGGGAATACAGCTCTAATTACAGCTTCACAGGCAGGTAAGGTTCTTTCTCTGGTTCACCTTTATGTTCCAGGGTTACGGCAACATGTTTGTCATGGCCATCACTTTTGGGGGGAAAAACTGTGACTCGGGTTTTTTTCCACAGTGGCTCATAGATTTTATAAACCCACTAGTCTACTTCCAAACAAAGCTCTCATGAACCTTTAACAAGTTCACTGTGTATAGATGTCAAATTCAAACAGTATCTTTTGTGGTGGAGTAGGGGAGAGTAAACTGGATTTATGAATAGGTCTAAGCCATTAATTATTAATAGATTATTTTAATTATTTTAATTTCAAATAAATGTAAATTTTCTTTAAATGTCTTTTTTTTTGGTTTTATCTTTTGATTTTTCTGTGTTTCTTCCATGACAAACAACTTGTCATAATGATGTTAATATAGTGTATTATGTAGCTAAGTGTGTTCATAACTATGGCTTTTTTCCTCACATACCTTGCACATGCCTTGCTGGCCTGTGGTCATTGCTGAATATTGGAAAGTAAGTTAAGGAGCTATGTGACAACTCAGAAGTATTTTAGCAGCAAATATGTTATTTAATCATTCCATATTAAGGACAAATAATCTGATTAGATATTATGGCCCTGATCCATCATTCACTAATACCGATTTTATACAAAGATAACTACATTGACTTCAGTGGTGTTGCTCCTAATTTAGAATAGAGTGAGAGAAGAATCAAAGTTGTCTGCATGTTTTATTCCACTCAGAGACAAATGTGTGCTTACTGCTGGTATTAATACACTCATAATCAATTTCTTATTTTTAAAAAAAGATAAATTACTGTGCTTTAATTTTAAAGACTGCTGTAGTCACATACTGTAAGTGGTTACAAAATACTGAAGGGACTCAGAAAAGAGAGATGACAAATACAATTAAGATATGTATCTACTGACCAAATACAGACTCTATTTTTGTCCGTATCTGGCTCTGCTCATCTAAGCAAATCGTCTACTTTGGTTCTAGAAGTAATCACTTAACAGCTAGGTGGATGCCCAACCTGCTCTCCAGGCATGGAATCTATGATGTACTTAACTGTATTTATGTGTTTCAAGTGTTGTTGTGGCCATGTTGGTCCCAGAATGTGAAAGAGGCAAGGTGGGTAAGATAATATCTTTTATTGGACCAACTTCTGCTGGAGACAGGGAAAAGCTTTGGAACTTACACAGAACTCTTTTTCAGGTCTGAGAAAAGTACTTAGAATGTCACAGCTAAATACAAGGTGGAACAAAGAAAGAGTTATCACATATTGTAAGAAACAATTCAAAATGAAGTGGGTAGTTAACTTGGCTAGTTGTAGAAAAAAGGAGAGCTACCCTGCCACTTATGATGGCAAAACCTACATCACTTAGGAGTGTGAAAAAAGCCCCTGAATAACGTAAGTTTCACTAAGAGAAATCCTGTGGCACATTATAGACCATAGGTTCCCAAACTGGGGGGGGGTGCGCGCCCCCCTGGGAGGTGTGAAGAAATGTCGGGGGGAAGGGTGCGAGGCAACCCAGCCCCTCCTCCCCTGGTCAATCCTCCCTTCCCCCGTCAATCCCCCCCAAGAAAGATCCCGGTCCATCTGGTAAAAAAAATTCAGAAAATACCATGTGAAATGTCCGGTATTTTCTGTTTTTCCTGGCTCGGGCTGCAGGAGGACGAAGCATCCCAGGCAGACTTCAAAATGGCCGCCTTAAAAGGACAATGCCTGCTCTGCTCTTAAAAGGGCAAATTTTTTTTGTTGTCAAAAACTTTTCCCCTGGAGTACCGGCACCTTTTTTTTTTACACTGGTCCTGGGAATCAAAGGGGCCACAATTTTTGTTTTGTTTTGCTCAATGAGTTTTGCTGATATTTTGCCAGGGTGCGGGTATAAGAGTTTCTCAAAAATCAAAAAGGGGGCGTGATGCCAAAAAGTTTGGAAACCACTATTATAGACTGACAGATTTATTGGAGCATAAGCTTTCGAGGGCAAAGACCCACTTTGTCAGATGCATGTCACAGGACTTCTCATTGTTTATGCAAATTCAGACTAACACAGCTACCCCTCCGATAAGTTTCACTGACATAGGTGGCAGTGTGCACAGTGCAATGTCAGCAAGACACCGTCTCCCACCACCAGCTATTGCCACTCATTGAGGTGGTTTTATGATGTCAACATAGAACGACTACATGAGTGATCTCACAGCAGCAGCACAGCTTCTAGAGTGGATATAGTCTTAGTGGGTTACAGATTGTAATAACGGGCCATAAATCCAATGTCTTTATTAAATCCATGATTTTTAGTGTCTAGCAGAGTTATGAGAGTATTGTTCCTGTAATTTTTCTATATGTCTAAAATTTAGGCACCCCAAAGCTCAGGGTCACAATACCTAATATTTTTTGTCAATCTAAAAGCCTTAGTATCTCTGGCTGACAGGAAATTTGAGGTTCCGCAACTTTGAAATTGTAGACTTTGAGATAATTAATTCTGACATAAGTTAGTTAAGAGGATTTATACCTAGCATCAAAGAGTTCCACATCTGAGGCCAGATGAACCGAAAGAATGATGAGCAACAAATAGGTTGGTATACACATAACATACATTTAAGGTTCCCATTTAATGGACAGCATTAGACAAGTGGTCCACCTGTGACAGACAAGTCCCATTAAAAAAGTCTAGGGCAGTTGTTTAAAAAAGAAAATTATATAGTTTAATGATAATTTTCTATGCCTTGATTATAATTGTTTGGCAGCCAACTGAACATGCATAGACATTATTTATATAGCAATAAAAACAGCTACTACTTTTGCTCCTAGTAAATCTTTGGCTTTACTCAAGAAACATTTTGTATTTTTCTGAAAAAGGAAATGATGGATTAATTTCTACTTAAGAAATCACTTAGAAGTAGTAATTCCTTATAAAATATTTAAATTCTTTCAAAATTGTCTTAATTGTAGTAAGGTAATAATCTCTGTAGCTTTCTAAATAGAATCAGTAGGGCTCAAGTGCTCTATAACCTGCTTTTCTTTTATCTGCTTCTGATGTACATTTGGCCCGTAAGAGATTTAGAGTTAAGTCTGAATCTTTTCTGCCTTTTATACTTAATTATAATGAGCTCAGAATTAATCTATAGTACTGACATTGACTTGGCAGACATTGATTTGACACTGACAGTGTTTGATATTGATCCCCAAAGCAACTCAGGCTGACTTTAATCAGCAGAAGCTTATACAAGCTCATAAATACTTCTTTTTACTTATTTTCCCCTTGGTAATCTTGAGTCAGTGTTCATAACAGTTATTTAATGCTTTATTACAGGATACTGTAATGCTTATTATCATTGCAATCAGTGGAGTTAACATGGAATATAGTTACTACTTAATTCTATGTAGTAGCTTAGAGCAATATATTGTAGATGACTGAAACCATAGTTTTTCTTTAATTTTTCAAGTATGTTGTAAATAACCTTTTCTAATATAATAATTTTAGACTTCTCCTGCCTTCTGTTTTCTTATTTGGTTAGGTCATGTCTATACTACAAAATTAAGTTGACCTACCTTACATTGGAATATATCCACCAAAAATAATTGCATCACTTGTGCATGTCTATACACTTCGCTCTTTGTATAGGTGGTGCATATCTTCACCATGATATGCACTTATATTGATTGTACTGTTAGTGTGGGTGTGGCAAGCAGGTTCTGGGGAGACAATGCTGGGAGTATCTAGTCAGGGTAAATTGCATAGAGATAGGGCTTCCTACAGCCCTACACAGGGAGTTTTCCACTATAAGGCAATCAGAAACCAGTCACAAAAAGCACTTCTGTTCACCACACTGGCTCACAAGAAGTCATACAAGCAATTCCCTCAGACATTCCAGTTCCCCTGTGTCCACATCAGTACATACCTTATACAGATGAGAGGTTATGAAAACCAATCTCATCAAATAAAAAGGTTCTTCCAATCCCAAAGGACCAGCCATATTCCCATGTCAGTTTACAACTCAGAATCTTACCCCAAAAAGCACACTGTTGCTGATCCTTTAGAATATAAAATCTGAAGGTTTATAGAAAGAAAGAAAGAAAGAAAGAAAGAAAGAAAGAAAGAAAGAAAGAAAGAAAGAAAGAAAGAAAGAAAGAAAGAAAGAAAGAAAGAAAGAAAGAAAGAAAGAAAGAAAGAAAGAAAGAAAGAAAGAAAGAAAGAAAGAAAGAAAGAAAGAAAGAATGGTTAATGGTATCAAATCTGTAGCAGTGATGCAATAAACTGCTGGCTTAAATCAAGTATCTGGAGTACATCCACCATTAAAATGGGTCAATCAGTTCTTTGTTTAGAGCTTCAGTTTTTAGTAAAGATCCTCCAGAGGTGAGAAGCAGGAGTGAAGACAAAATGGAGGCATTCCAGGGCCCTTTATATATCCTTTTCCATGTGAAAGGAATCTCCTTGTTCCTGCTGTGGAAAAGTATATTCCAAGATGGAGTTTGGAGTCACATGGGCAAGTCACCTATCCATGCACAACTCAGTTCTTTGCAGATGGACTTCATGGCCCACATTCCAGTTTGAAGGTCTGCAGAGAAGTCCATTCATTGTAGTTGGGTGCCTCCCATGCTTCATTGTTCATTGAATGTTTCTTGATGGGCCAATCGACATGAATAGTCTTACCCAGGCATGCTGGCTAACTATTCTTTGGAGGGCAGCAAGGGAGCAGAGATAGGGACCAGGATAGCTATAACCCCATTGGGCCAGCAGGGGGCAGAGGTGGAGAAAGGCACAGCTATATACTCTATATTTCAGAGAGTTCATACTGAACCCCTCATCCTCAGCCCCGCCCCAGAACAGTGATTTAAATGTAAAAAAACCGTATTTGAGTTAAGGAGCTGAGCAATGCCAGGTAAATCTTCTAATATTATATAACTTTACAAGCAGCATGGCTATTGGATTGCATAAACACCTCCCTTCTCCCCTGACTTAAGTGTTTGAGTTTTCATAAGTGAGTGTATCCCTCCCTCCACTGTCTCAGGCCTGTCTTCCAAACCATAGAGTCCCAAACTGAGATAACCACTCTGAGAAAGAGGGGAAGGTAGCAAGAAAATGTGAATGAAAAGAGGTGGCTTTCAAAGAAGAGCAGATACCAGGAAGTAACTGACCTATCATCTTTGAGAGCCTATGTGCATTTCCTCTTATGGGAGATTAGTGAGCAGTATCACCAAAGATGAATGGCAGGCTTAAGAGTTCTATAATTAAATACCTATTGCTGCCAAATGTAGCTTCTAAGCCGAAGGCTAGGTTTAATGAATTGTGCTTAGTGAAGGTGTAAGCCAAACTCCAAGTGCCTATTCTGCAAATTCCCTGTTTAAATATGTCATGTAGCCATGGTCCTAGTTAGTTCATTGTGTTTCAAACTCTTAACAATAATTTATTTTCCTAACTGCGGAGAATTCCCATTTAAAATAATATCTGGAACAAACACCCAGCCGATTGAAATAGTTTATTTTTAAAAAAGATAAGTGTAATTATTACACCAAGATCATTGTTATTTTAATCTGAAATTATTCTTGTGTGTGCTATACAAAGTAGCAAATCCACACTATTTTGATTAGTTGTAAGAATGTATAAAACAGTTCCACTTTTGGGGGTCTAAATCCAAACTGTACTATATGGAATTTCATAGTCTCAAACACATCTCTGGTGTTCAGTTGAGCATAGGAAATAGGTAGATAAGCAGGCATGTAGTGTTCATTGAAGCTGCAAGAAGGACTTGTCTATTATCTTTTTCTATTATCTTTTGTAGAAAGAAAAACTTTTTAATATGTAGTATATTATGGTTATTTTGGAATTTTGATCTGAGCATCAGGTCTATCAAAATGCTAGCAGCAGAATTGCTTTTAAAACTTCAGCTTAACAAAGATCTTTTGAGAAAGAAAAACAAATCAAAAACAGAAGTAAAGAATACCACATACAGTAAAAGAAAAGAAAAATGAATGAAAATGGAAACAGAAGGGGAAAAGGGAGAAAGACACAGTACAGTCACTTTTATTTAATAAAGATTAATACAACAATAAAGTAATAATACATGGGCCATTTATAACAGATATGGAATCATCATCAGCTTAGTACAACAACCAAGTTCAGGATTTATGTGAACAGAGTCCTTCCCCTACTGATGTATGGCTGCAAAACATGGACACTACCCCATGCAAACTGAACGAAGCTGGAGGCTTCCCATAAAGTGAAATGAGTTAATCTGTAATGCAGATATTTATGGTCATTCAGGTCTGCAGACTACTGGGACCATTGTCTGCAAGTAGCACCTTATGCTTTTCGGACATGTCAGAAGGGTGTCACAAGACGTTTCAGCAAGCTTTGTTCCCTGGGTGGCTTGTAACATCTGGAATAAAACTCGACCAATCAAGAGGTGGAGGTGGTCCAGCGGCAGACCCTCTATTGCATGGGTACATCAAGTCCATTCTGATGTTGGACTCTCAGACCATCAAACTTTTGCGGTTGTGCAGCAACAAATGGTGAACGATCGCTATGGTCAACTGTCTAGCTAAGCATTCAAGAAGAAGAATACAATTAAAGACTCATCACTTCTCAGGGTCTGAATGTACAGTATTGCTGCTGCTGCTGGATAGCAGTTGCCCTAGCCAGACATGAGTGCTAACATGTGCTGTTATCTGGTGTGAATCCTTATTTGCTCACTCTTCCAAAATATCTGCTGCATGACAGTGTGTTATATGGGCCAGCTACCTATTAATCTCTAGCAGTTATGTCATAATTGTGCAGTACAGAATTGCAAATTAGAATAATTCCTTTATGTTAATGAGGATGTAAAAACCAATCATACATAGTACTGAGAAAATTACAGAAGATGCTGAGCAGCCTCCATTCTGCTGATCTGTCAGAAAGCACTGGTTATCTTACAGGTCTTGACTCTACATTTGCAGATACAAATCAATGATTCAACGATGGTGTTTCAAATCAGATTCTTTCCCTGTTTCCTTTCTTGATATTACACACATTTTCAGGACAGTGAGCGAATGACATCATGCCTGCTTACATGCAGAAATAATAATGAGGCAGCCATAATCCCGTGGTTAGGGCCACAAACTAGAAGTCAAGGGGGTCTAAATGATGTGTTATCTTGGGGAAAGTCATTCCACCTTCCTGTCTGTCTCTGTTCCTCCCATCTGTAAAATGGAGATAAATATAATCATCATCTTTCAGAGGAGTAGCCGATTAGTCTGTAACAGGAAAAACTTAAACAACAAATAGTCTAGTAGTACCTTAAAGGCAAAAAACATATAGATGGTATCATGCGCTTTCGTGGGCACAACCCACTTCTTCAGATGACTGGAGTATTAGAAATCCAGATCCAAGAATAAATAAGAGAAGGGGGAGTAGGGAGGAGGAAAAAAAGAGAGAAAAAAGAGGGGAAGAGAGAGAGAGACAGTGAGTAGATGGTTCAAGTAGTTACAAGAGGCTGATAAGAACAATTAGCACCTCCATTGTTGGGTTGGTTGGTTAAGTCATTAGGATGTGGAAGGTAGTGTGTGAGCCAGCCGATGTCCCTGTATCGTCCTTGTAAAGCAAATAGATTGAAAATTTTTTTTAAAGACATCATGGGGAGTCTTTGCATATAGTGAACTGAATTTGTATGCTGCTGCTGACATTATTATTTATAATTATCATAATACAGCAGTCCGAGAAGCTCCAACCAAAATTGATCCCATTGTCAAACCAAATAAAAAAGCATCCTAGCCAGGCCAGACAGAAAGTGAGTCATAGAGCATGTCTTTGAGGACACTGATATACTTCACAGAAAGTATGCTTGGCATACGTACAAGTTAAGGTATGATTTATTACTTATATTATATAGACACTTCTCTAAGTACAGCCATAATGGGTCAAACCAAAGGTCCATCTAGTCTACTATTCTGTCTTCCAGCAGTGGCCAATATCTGGCACTTCAGAAGGAATGAACAGTACAGGTTCAAGTGATCCATTTCCTGCCCTCATTTCCTACCCTAGCTTCTGACAAAACAGGAACACCATTCCTGCCCATCCTGCCTAATAGTAATTGATGGACCTAACCTCCATGAATTTATCTGGTTCTTTTTTTAACCTTGTTTTGTCTTGGTTTTCACAACATCCTCTGAGAAGGAGTTTCACAGGGGGTCACCCAACGTAGCTCTTGTGTTATGAGAAGGTGTAAAGAACACTTCCATATTTACTTTTCCTTTCCTGTCATGATTTTATAGAGTTCTATCATATCCCCCTTTAGTTGTCTTTTTTCTAAGCTAAAAAATCCCAGTCTTTTTAATCTCTCCTTTTATGGAATGTGTTTAGTACTCCTAATAATTTCTGTTGCCCTTTTCTGAACCTTTTTTAATTCCGGTATACCTTTTTTGCCATGGGGTGACCATATCTGCATGCAATACTCAAGATGTGGGCATACCATGAATTTATGTAGAGGCAATATGATATTTTCTGTCTTATTGTCTGTCCTTTTCCTAATGATTCCCAGTGTTCTGTTAGCTTTTTTGATTGCCACTGGACATTGAACAGCTGTTTTCAGAGAACTATGTACAGTGACTCCATGAGCACTTTCTGGAGTGGGAACACTTAATTCAGACCCTATCACTTTGCATGTATAGTTGGGATTATATTTTGCCATGTGCATTACTTTGCATTTATCAGCATTGAATTCCATCTGTCGTTGTGTTGCCCATTCACCCCAACCTTAATTTTGTATCATCTGCAAATTTTGCCATCTCACTGTTAACCCCTTTTTCCAGATCATTTACAAATAATTTGAATACTCCTGGTCCTAACACAGACCCCTACAGCACACCACTATTTAACTCTCCATTCTCACCATTTATTCATACTTTTTTGTTTCCTGTCTTTTAAGTGGAGTGTTTCTGGCAATGTTTCTATGATCATCTAATGATCCCTCAAGCCTTTTGTTATCTTAATCACTCTGCCTCCCCCTGCTTATGACTCTCTGCCCCAAAGGCAAAGCTGGGTGTAGCACGAGCTCTGTGGCAGTAAGAGCAGTGTATGGGGCTCAGGCATACACTTTAAGGAGACCTCAAGGATGAAATTCAGGGATTCAAACTTGGGGAGGCACAGACCATCACTCCCCTACTTAAATGGTGCCTCTGCCAGTGGCTCAGCCCAATACTGAGGAGTGGCCTGGAGTGGCTGGGGTGGACAGGCCAAGGCTTCTCCCATAACTGGGAGCAGAGTGGGGCTCTTGTGTGTGGTGAATGGGAGTTCCCCAAAAGCGGGAGTTCACCCATTGCCCATGCATTTATGACTCCGTTTTATTATGAGTTTGTGTTTTGTTGCACCTGAAATTTGAGGCAAACCACAGAGTACATGAATCTCCGTGGACTGGAATTGAAGAGGTTTGCACGAACCCCTGTGATACTGAACACCTGAGTTCCACAAAGCTCTGCTTAATTTGTTATTTAATTTTGTGTGTCTGTGTCTTTACTTGAAGTTAGATCCAGTTAGATCCCTGGGGAACTTTCACTATGATTTCCCCCACTCTCCATCTGTGTCAAATAGCCCAATCTGTAGTTATATTTTAGCAACATAAAGAAGAGAAACGTTAACAGCAATTAACATAGAAATTTGTTAAAAACTCATTTATTTGTATATAATGCTGTTGTTTAAAACATCCTCACTATTCTGATGTTCTCTAGATATCCCAGGTTGAAAAGAAATATTTCTGCTACATTGAAGCCTTCAGGCGGTGCGGAGGGATACTTACATACCAAGGCTACATCTATACTGCAGCGCTATTTACTGGAGTATCCCGAAATAGCTATTCCACGCCTTAAGAGCAAGCCCGTTATTTTGAAATAGAACAGGCTCTCTATTCCATCATCCCTGTAAACCACATTCCATGAGGAGTAAGAGACGTTTCAGAATAGTGAGTTATTTTGAAATTTGGGGCTGTGTAGACAGCGCCAAATTACAAAATAAGCTATTTTGAAATAACATCAAAATAAGATAAGCAAATTGCGTAGCTCAACTTGAGTATCTTATTTCGACCTACAGTGCAGTGCAGATGCACTCCAAGAGGAACTGAGCATTCTGGAGCCATTCCAGCAAGCCTTCTGGGCATGGAGGGTAAGTCTACACAGTAGCACGTACCTCGAAATAAACTACACAAATTGAGTAACTTATTTCAGAACAGCTTATTTCAAAATTTGCCACTGTCTACACAGCACTTATTTTGAAATAAATTGCCATTCCGCTAACTTAATCCTCGTGCAATGAGGTTTACAGGAAGTCAGAGTAAGAAGCCTGTTATTTCAAATTTATTTTGAAATAACGGGCTTCTTGTGTAGACAGTGCATGACGTTATTTCGGAATAATGGATGTTATTCCAAAATAAATCTGCTGTGTAGATCTACTCTGAGACTCCATTAGTGTTGTCTTCATTGTTCTTATTTGTGGCTTGATCCTGCTCCCACTGAAGTCAACAGGAGCTTTGCCATAGACGGCAACATGAGCAGAATTGGGGCATATGTTTGTGTTTATAGGACCCAGTTGAAAACTAATATAAATCATTGCCATTCTAATTTAGTATTTTTACACCTGGTTTGCCCTCACTTTGCCCTGAACTAAATGATGACACAAGGTGCAGGGCAACTATTCATTTGACCTTCAATTTTTCTGATTCTTGCACTGTTTAAATTCCTGTCTTAGGTTGTCTATGAAATTGCTTGAGTTTCCTGGAAGCTTCTGGTTACACAAAGGGTTGGTGGGATTTGGCAAATTTCAGAAAGGGGTAAGACTGAAAACACCTTTAACACTAGGATTACAGATATATCTAAAACCATTCAACTGGTAAAAATTTGTTTTTCCTGCCTTCCAGAAGTCTTGTAGGACTGTGTTGGTGCAAACAACTGCTGATGAAAACTGCTCCAGATGTGCTGTGGCAGATTTCTTTTTTAAAATTGCCTCTGTGTAAATTACAGTCTGCTTTAGTAACATACTTGACAGCCACACATTGCAGCATATTCAACTGGACTGCAGAGTGCGATGACAGAACATTTTTTACAGCTCACAGTAGTTAAGTTGTAATTATTGCAGCTGCCTGACAGACTGCATTATTATACAAACCATCAAACCATCATAAAATAAATGACAAGTGAAGGGAAAACTGTTCTGAATGAGTTATAATGGCACTAGATATTTGTCATCTCCTGTTAGACCAGTTATAAGGGCTTGATGTTTTAATTGGTCTTCAGGCTGTTAGTTCTGTAACACTTCTTATTTTAGCCAGCGACAGGCTTCCAGTGTTCTGCATATCCCTGCTGACACCAGCGACACAGGCACACAAGCCAAAGGAAATGAAAGGCAGTGATGGCCATTTGTGGAGAGTAAAACTTGACAGCAGAACATCAGTCATATTGATTTTACTGTGAAGCCAGTAACACAACTCCACTGGCCTATTGCTAATGAATGGCCCAGTGGCTTTCCACTGCCAGGCAGGGCAATGAGGAAAAAGAGAAAAAAAGACAGAGAGAGAGAGAGAGAGAGAGAGAGAGAGCATAAATAATCCATTTGTCTAATATCAACCCACGCAAAGTTCTATTGAGATTTTCAGTTCTGACTTCCTAGGATAACCAGAAATTATAATCACAATCCATGATTTTAGAGAAAAGGACCCAGCTGAGCTGTCTGCATATTTCTATAGCAGTATTTTGTCTGGTTCCTTGAAAATGCGTGTGTACAATTAATCACAGTTGCATCATATACCCCTTTTTCCAAAGGCGTTAGGGGTCAATATGGTTTTTCCACAAGCCCTATGTATGGGGCAGAATATCTTTGTACTGCCCCAAGAGCAGACTCTGATGCATTCTGCATTTGGGCTTCCCCCATTCCAGACTCATCCTTTGTCCCCTAGTGCAGCTGTGCTGGCCATGGCCGGGTACATTAGAGATGGTGGAACTACACAGCTCCACTCATTTCCTATCCCTTCCAACCAAGATGAATGAGGGTGGACACATAGTAACCCCACATAGGCTATTCTTCCTTCCACTGCATGGGTAATGGCACAGGCAAGTAGGTACTATGGCATGCTACTATCTGGTCCTTAGCTGTTCCCCACAAGAACCCCTAAGGTGGGTAAGTAGCAGTACTATGTACATCTGTGTTTATGTAGATGGAAACCACACCCAGTG